TTGTAGTCTTCTCTAAGCCTGCTCTGATTGGAGACCTTCTAGCATAGAGTAGGGTTACCATATATCCAGTTTCAAAAAAGAAAACACCTGTTGGGGAGGGGGGTTAATATGATAGGGGATGGGGCAGTGATATGCCCATGCCCTGCCCCTGCCCTTCCCTCCCAAGCCACAACCCTCCCCAGCCCTGCTGGTGCCCTTCACTCCCAACCTGCAGCCCCTCCCCCCCCGCCATCACTGCTGATACCCCTTACACTGACCTGCAGCCCCCTGGCACTGCCTGTGCCCTGCGCTCCTGATCCACAGTTCTCCCTCCCTCCCTGGTGCCCCTCCCTCCCAATCCACATCCTCCCCAGTCTGCCAGTGTTCATCATTCCCCAGCCACAGCCCTCCCCCCTGCCCTCCCCCAGCCCTGCCAGTGCCCTTCAGTTTCAGCTCTGCAGTGTCTCCCAGCTGCCCCTGAAGGGCGGCTCTGCCCCCTTCTCCTGCTGGAGGGACAGGCACCTCCTGCACCTCCCCTGCCCTGTTGCAGCCCCAGCTCCCGGACGCTTTCCCCAGCACCGGCAGGCACCCGCCCCCCTCCCCTCCCCTCCACAGCCCCACACACAGCCCCCCAGACAGTCCACAAGCCCTGGCCCTGCAACCCCCGCCCTCTGTAGACTTACCTGCATGCAGCTGCTGGGGCTGCTTTCACCACCCTGCCTGGACCCTGCCTGGCTGCATGCTGGCCATGTGTGTGTGCAGACCCACATGATGCCCCCTGATTCCAATCACCCTCCTCCCAGCCCCAGTTTTTATTTTTAATGGAATGCGCTAACGAATAGAACAGATTAAAGTGTTTTGTCAGTAGTTTTTGAAGGAAAATGTTTTTCAGCTCATAAATGTTGATGTGAACATATGCTGCTAAAATTGTCATTGTCCACAAAAGATTGGGATGTAAAGTTGATATATGAAGTTCACTTGCAGTAATATAGATTATTTTTATGCATTTTTCCCTGTAGAAGCATTCTGCATTCCTAATTATTTATAAACATTTTATTTTCAATTCTTACAGAAATAATATCCTTCCCTCTTGTCCCCTTTCATAATAGGCAAAGGGGGAGGTGTGACTTGATGCCAAAATTTAGGGAGAATTTTTCTCTATTTACTAGCCAATTGCCTGTCAAGAATGATGGGGAGGGGGGCAGGGGGCGGGGATAGAGCATCGGCACCCAATGCCCCGTGCTGCCACTGCTCTGCCTCTGGCCCCGTGCACCCCCCTGCCTGCCCGCCCCGCATCTAGCCCTGTGCACCAGAGTGGGGGGGCAAGGCCAGTGCTATGCTGCCAGCTCCCCACGCTCCCGCCGCCTCCAAGGAGCATAGCTGAAGGAGGGGCACACCCCATTTCCCACTTGTGCCAGATTACACTGAGTCTATTGTATTGTACTACTTCTTTTATTACTAAAACTCCCCTATAAGTAAAGCATTTCAGTTTTGGGGTTTTGGATGTTCTGATATCTTTCCCCTTGTTTCCTTCCATTTTCCTCTTATCATCTGTATGTGTGTGTTCAGGTTCTACTGCTATTGATTTCTGCTACCTCCCTTTGTTACTGCAGTACTCTTATCCTTCTAACCTAAAAGGCTTGTGTTGGTTACTTTTCAAGGGAGAAGAATGGTTAATCTACTTGTTCTAGGGTTGGTCTGGAAGTGGAAACGTGTTTTCTTTTTCTAGTTGTTTCAGACTTTGCATAAAACATTGGGACTTGCACTCATTAATCGTAATGGTGCTTTGGAAAATCTTACTCTATACCTGTCTTTTTCCTCTGTTTTGCAGTCTGTAAACTTGCTTATTCATAGGAGTTGGTGTAATTATTTGAAATTCCTACACAGTAGTCCAAAGGGTGACTAGCAGTCCATCAGTGTGAAAGTGTTTCTGTGCAATAGGTAGGCAAGGTTCTTTGAGTAGATGTGATATCTTTTATTAGACCAAGTGAGTAGTTGGAAAAAAGTTTTTGGCAAGCTTTCAGGCACAGTCACCCTTCTTTAGGCATAGGCAGTTTCTGCTGGTCTGAGACTCCAAAGAGATTTCCTATAGCTGAAGAAGGGTGACTGTGCCCAAAAGCTTGCCAAGAACTTCTTTCCAACTACTCAGTTGGTCTAATAAAAGATATCACATCTACTCAAAGAACCTTGCCTACCTATGTCCTTAGACCAACATGGCTACAACCAAAAACCCAGTTTCTATGCAAAAGTTTTTTCTATAGTTATTTGTCAGTTGGTTTATGGCATCAATTTTATATTTAGCCTATAACAGTCATTGTTATGGTACAGCTCCATGGATTAGAATATATATTCCTGAGTCTTTAAATAACATAAGTTCATTCAGTTAGAATGGGGCCACTGGTGAGTGGCTATTTCAGTGGTAGTTGAGGCTGTTGTACTTGAAGGAATCTGAGCTTCCTCTACTAATGGGATTTAAGTGCCCAATTTTGAAAAATTTGGCCTAAAAGTCTTGATTTTTTGGGGGCCAAATTCTGTTTATTTTGAAAATCACACAGTTATTGACATCAGTGGTGAAATATGTTCAAATATAGGCCTTTTGTTAGCATTGTTGTCATTTTCAGCATGTGTATGTTGTCCTGCTGTATAAGACTGTATTTATCCTTTTGATCTTAATTGTAGTGATAATCAAATGGAGACAGTTGCATCAAAATCCTTCTGATTTTAAGTTAGAGACAGGGGGAAGGGTATTTAAAATATTTTATAGTTCTAAAATTGTATAAAGTACATTAATAAAGAGAGTTTTGGTAGAAAATATAACACTGATGTTAGTGCTGTGATGAAAATGTAGGAGGACAGATCACATAGGTTCACAGAAGTTTAGGGCTGGAAGGGACCTTGTGAGATCATCAGGTCCATCCCCCTGCTTTGGGCAGGAAAGACTGTTGTGGTCAAATAACCCATCAAGGTGAGCATCCAGTCTCCTTTTGAAGATCTCCAGGGGAGAGATTTTTTTTAATTGGACCTACTGCATGATTGGAAAGTATCCTTCTTCTGGTCTAAGATAATACTAATGATGTCTCTTTGCTCTTTTTACAGCCCTGCTCCATTTCTTTATGCAGACAGTTTTGCATATGGAGTTTTATACAAGCTGTTGTTCTGTTTGTTGCTTAGCTCAAAGCTGCATCTGCTTCTTTCTCAGACCTGAAGAAGAATACTTTTGCTCAAAGGCCTGTCTAAAATCTCTCCCAATGTTTTTGCAGGTGGTCCAATAAAAGATATTGCCCCCAGCCCTAAATATCCTTGCCTCACGTTACCTGGACCATCACAGCTACAATATTATTTTATTTTATTGCATCAAGACTGCAGACTTTGGACAATTGCTGGCATGTATTTGAACTCTGTGAGGGTGTTCAGTACCAGGAACTGGAAAAACAGTTGAGGAAATTCAGCTTTCCTGCACTCAGTCTTAAAGCCTCTGTGAAGGATGTGAATTTGCAGTGATTCTTCTAATTACTTATGCAGGAGATTTAGCATTTGGTAACTTGTTTTGGAGTGGAGAACAGTTCTTTTGCCTGTCTTCAAGCAATGCATGCTCTCCTTCTCCTTCCCCCCCCCCCCTCCCCCAGCTGTAAGAAAATAATCTTTTTCACTGGGACCAAGTTATTTTCTTTCCCTTCCCCCATGTACGCCTACACCAGTATTTCTTTCAGCTCTGCAAGTGTGTTTTTCTCACTTTCTCTGCTGTGTAGGCGGCCTTCCTGATCACAATTGAGCTTCACAGGAAATTTTAAAAACCTCTCTCCACAGTAAATCTATAATTTAACACCAAAGAAAATATATGGCTTCTGTTTAGAATCATGAGGCATCTCATTAATGGTCAGAGTGGTTAGGAATCTAGTTTTAAGGAAAATGGATTTTTTTTTGCATAAATGTATGCTGTTGACATTTGGTCTAAGCTTCTTTTATTGGGCACTACTTGTAGTAGTAATAATTCACATCATCCACTTCACAAATTATTGCTAACAAAATGTCATAAATGCAAGAAAGGAAGGAGGAAATAGTGAAACATTTAATCCCCCTACTTGTTTTAGACTGATCTAGAATAGAAAATGTTTAGCCTGTAGCTAGAATGACTTTCAAATGTGGCCATGCATAAAGCATTACCATTTGTGAGGTCCAAATACATTTCTCTGTTGCAGGTTATGTTTTTTGGGTGGGTTGTTTGTTGTTTGCTTGTTTTTTTTTTAAATGGAAGTAATCATTCTGTTTGGAAATGTTTGTTTTCATTGTAATTGCTCATTTTGAGTACCTTTTATGTCCTATTAGTGATGCTTGTAACTTAAAGATGTTGGTATCAGACCATTTTGTAAGTACATCCAAACTTCTCTTTTTATTTAGGCCACACTTATTTATAAAGGCCACATTATTTTCTCAAAGTGCACTGAATAATATTGCATCTGGCCCTTGCTAGAGAAACCTTTATTGATACTAGTGTTCTCGCCAATGGTTGCTTGACTTCTAATATCCCTTTTCTGGCAATGATTCCTGACAGAGTTATGATGGGCCAGTTGTCATAGCGTCTGAAAACCTCAATTTTTTTAATAACAGCCAATCAAATTGTAGAACTGATTACCGTGAGCAAGAGTGGTCCATCTATATCTGTTTTTCTAATCTAAGTTTTTAGATGGAAGCCAAAACTTTGGGATCCAAAAGTCTTTATGGCAGTAGAGATCAGATACCGTTGTTAACACTGCGAACTAGTGGTGTTTAATGTTGATTTGATTATATATTTTGGCAGACTTGGAAAAAAGTTTTTAAATTTGTTTCTGTTGTAGAGTTTTTAGAAGCCCATAATGGATGGTTCAGCTAAATTCAAATCTGGCCACCCCTCTTCTTCAGTACATGTGTTTAAACACTTTGGTGGATAATGATGTAGTGTGAGCTGCAGTACCACTGTACTAGCATCTTCTTTCCATCAGACTGACCTGTGATGATGTCTGTCTTCCCATAATGTCCTGTAGAGATAACAACCAGGAAGAAAACAAGGCAGCTTGATCTGGTGTGGATAAAAGAATGACCAGGATATTTATTTACTGTCCAACTTCTTCACCCAAGAGAGTAGCCATGTCTGCCTCTTCCTCAGGTAGTTCACCTTTTACAAGACTTTTGTTCTTGGCCTCCTACAGAAACAGTTCTTGAAAATGTTTTTTTTTTTTTTTTTCTTTTCTTTACAGCTCAGGTGGTTGTTTTTATCATTCATGTCTCAGTTATTTCCAGGCTGCACCACTTATTGTCACCCTAGAACTGTCAGTGAATGCCTTGGGAAGTTTGGTAGCGCAGAATTCAGCTGCATGTCTTCCTGGGAAGTTGGACTGGTGGGAACCTATGCTTCGTTTTGTGTACTGAGTCAGCCTTTGGAAGAAATGTAGGTGGTATTTGCTAGTTGGTTTAGAAGCCCTAGTTGGCTTAGTACCTTATGGTTTTGCCTGAGCACTGAAAATGTTTAAAGTTCTACAGAATATATAAGATGCAATCTCTACTCAAACGATACCCCCCCGGGGCCATTTGTTGCAGATTGTGTGACTGTCTCTAATTTCCTACCATTTCAATGCATCCAGAACACTTAAGAAAGGGCTGAAATTCAAGGGAGGTGGATAAAGGCTTTTTTAATGCTTGTTGTTTATGAGAAATTTGTCTAGTGCCAAGTCTGGCTACATTCAAAATGTCTTGTAAAATGCATTTTTCTCCAGGGTTCTGCAAAAGGATGGCTGATACTTCAGTATGCTGGTCAAGTTAAATTTGTGTTGTAAAGGGAAAAGGCAGATGAGATATTTGGAGTGTAGTTGTGGAAAGTAAGCCCAGATATTGAAAAGACCAGCATCTTTTTAAATGCTTATGCTAGGAATGCAAGCTTTGTCTGGTTAGCCTTATCACTTACAGGATTAAAAAAACCCCATTTAGCTACTCTAATGAAGAGGGAATCTTCAGTATGTGTTAAGCAGGGTTACCAGTAGATGAAAATACCTCATTTTAAAGCTTTTCATTTTGTGTGTTGCTAGCAAAGCTATATTATCATTAAGGAAATGGAGAGCCTTTATGAGAGTTGTGTATGCATGCATGCGCCTTTAGATGCAGTTATCTATGATAGATATTACTATGGTTTTCTTTTTTGGGGTAAGTCACATGAAGGTCCAGATAACTGAGGAAGCCACTGAAAACGTTCACCTAATCTCTCTTATCACCTCTGTGACTGAGGCATTCATCATAACTCTGGATGGAAAGGATATGTGGTTGGAGTGCTCACACTGTCTTAGGTGCAGAGGAAAAAATTCTTTTCTGGCCATCAATTTTACTTGTCATTGGCAAGGAGAATGCGGTCTCCCAGTTGTATTGCAATCCCATGGTTTAGCTTTTTTGCAAATGATTTATGTATATTTGTTGAAATTAGGATATGCTTCTAGTGCATGCAGTTTACATTAGTTTTCAGGTTTACACTACTAGGGTACTTGCTCAAGACTTCATTTGCTTTCATGTGGGAGTGTGCAATTCTTGTCTGTTGGAGTTTAGCTTGCAAACTGATGACAACATAATTCTATTTCTCTTTGAGCTCAGGGCCTTAACAAAAGTTATGTGATTACTTGAAATTGTACTTCAGATCAAATTTGTTTTCCTTTTTTCTGTTTTTGGTTATTTATGAGCTATATTCCCATAGGTAAAGCCTTATTGGGACTCTTTTATTGAAATTAATACATGAACTCTTATGATTGGCAGCTAAACTCTTGAAGTGAATCATACATGCATTACCAAGTGATTTTTCTAGAATAAGTGTGCCACAATAAAGCTTCTTTTTGCTTATGTTTCAAATACCATGTGCTTCTAATTAGACACCTAAAGCTATTTAGGTGCCAAACCTTCAACACCTCTATAATTAGCTCATCATCTTGTCAGATGCAGCAGATCATTTTGTTAATGGCGGAAGACTAAAACTAAAAATTCCAAATATAACTTGTTTGTGGGTTAAAGCCCTTTAGATTCAATCATCACTGGTGATGTGGGTGGCCATCTGGGTTGTTTGAAGGGGCTGCACCTGCTTCAAAGAGCAGTAGTCCTTACAAGAGGCCTAGTTGGAAGTGTATGTTTCTAGTTTGGGAAGAAAGCTATTATTTCATTTCTCTGTAAAAAACATAAATGATTGGTTTATGGAATCATTGTTTTGATTTTATACATCTCTGAAGCAGTGATTTTACACCTTATGGCTTTGTAGAATGCCCTACTGGATCAACTCAGATAAATAATATTCTGATAATAATGAATGGATTACCAATTACTCAGTAATGCTGAGCGTATTTTACATGGTGAGGGGTGCAAATTGAGTTTTGGTTACTTACCAGAGCAAGAAATGCCTTCCATTATACCAAACATGGTCACTGACGGTCTAAATAGGTGATCAGTTGTATGAATTCTGTTTTAGTGTTATGCTATACTATATTGGATTTGCCTATTTCAACTTTGTTCAAACAGCATCTTTAAGAAACATCTTTATTTCAGTAATTTACAAAAAGGCTACTTGAGAATCAGTCCACCCTTTCTTTTTTACCCAGCAGCAATCCTTGTTTGAGGATTTGGGATCTGAGACCTCCTCTGATAGACTTTTCCTGTAGTCCTTGTTTACTATCACTCACTACCTGATTAAAAGATCATGACTTTCAAGTCAATTAAAATGAAATCCATGTGGCAATCACTGAAATCAATAATGGTCACTTACCTTACAATAACAGTGTCTTCAGTATGTTTTGCCAGGATAGATTCTGTGACCTTTCCTCAGTACTTGGAAGTCCTATACCACCTGGATTCTGTATTGCAAAGGAACAGAGAGCGAGCTGAGTCCACTTTACTTTTTATACCCTTAGGTAGGCAAGCTAGGCCCCAAAAAACACTGCTGTCCCCCCAAAAAGATCTTGCTTACATGTCCACATGGATTCCATTCTTCGTGCATAACACATTTCTTTTTTGCATTAAAGCTGATGTATGCTGTAATTACATCTCTGATTGTACGTGTTCCATTGGTTCAGTGGCAGGGGCATATCGTCAGTTAATAGACGTTGTTCTTCAGCCCTTGTCTTTTTCTAGGCATGGAAAAGATCTTTTAAGTCTGTTTTACACAAATTATTTTTGTATTCACTTTTCATAAATTGAGCAAGCAATTGATAGATTAAATGTATACATCAAAATAAGTCAATACATATATTTAGTTTAGTTGTACTTTTAAACATACATGCATAGTGTATAGTATGTCTCTTAAGGCAGTTATGTACTCTGCATGTTGTTGATTAGGAAGAATGTGATATGTTTGTAGTTAACATTTGTACATTACATTTCAAATGCATTACATTTTAGGAGGTTGGCTGGCAAAGTAATCTGAAAATCAAGCAATCTGAAAATAAGCCAAGATTCAGCCTGCTATAACTTTTTTATAACATGCAATTCATACAAACTTGTGAAGATTTAACAGCAACAGATTCAGTGCAATTAAATTAAAACTATTACATTTTTTTGCAGGTTAATTCTTGTGGGTGTTTGCGTTTGACTTCATGAGAAACAGCAGAATCCTGGACTGGTAAAGTAAGTTCACATTTTCATAATTTAAGGGTAGAAGAGACTATAGTGTTATCTAGTAGATAGAGCATCGGACTGCGAGATCTTAGTGCTATCCCTGGCACTGTGAGTGATCTGCTGTATGACCTTTTGGAAGTCACTTCACCCCTGTGCCTCAGTTTCTTCATCTGGAAAATAGGGAGAATGCTAGACTTTTAGAAAATGATTTGTAATTTATTGCTGAAAAACACTATGCAACATCTACTGGGGATTGGATGATAGTAGTAATAATACATAGGCCTTTAGATTATAATGAATTCCTCCATCAAGTCCAGTAGCTTGGATACAAAAATGTTCAGGCTCAACTTAACAATGTCCAGGAATGGAAAATCCACTACAGTCCCTGTTCAGTTGTTCCAACTGTTAACTACTTATGGTTAAAACTGGCATCTTATTTCCAGTCTGAATTTGTCTAGCTTCAGTTTGCAGGCATTGAAACTTGTTAAACAGCTGTTGACTAGACTGAAGAACCCTCTACCAAATATATTTTCCCAGAGATAGATGCTACTCAAATTTAACCTTTGCTTTGACAAAGTTACTTGAGTCTTTCACTATAGATACATCTTTTCACTGATTCTCTTGGTTCCTTGGTGAGATTTCTCTCATTTTTCATCATCCTCTTGATTTTCTCATTCTGCATTATGCCCTTTTCACTTAATCTTGTCTTTCACTGCCCCAAACATTACCATGCACCTAACATTTCTGAAGTTGTACTACAGCATTTTCTGGGCAGATCCTCATGTTCACCTAAGTACATCTCCTTCCCTCATCCTTCTCTGACATGGATGCATGTTCTCATTCATGACTCAGCTGAATATGTGCACACTGTCACAGTGATGCTTCTCCCCTGTGTCTCCAACACTGGAGCTGCAAGACTAGGAGGTAGTTTCACAGGGCTGAATAAGACTGGAAGGTAGGAAGCCTATACCTTCTTCTGCATGAGAGGAACCAGCATGGGATTAGCTGATATTTCCAGTGGGGATTCACAGGAGTTGAGTGGATCCTGACAAGGAGATGATGTACAAAGGTGGCTGCAGAGTGGTTCCTCCCTAGCTGTGGTCAACCTCATGATCTAGAGCAGGGCTGTTGAATTTCTAGGTGGCTGTGGGCCACACCAGAGGAGGTCACTGCCCCCACCCCTCTCCCTGGGTTGCCCCTCCCATCCATCTCTACACTGAGTCAGGTGCCCTGGCTTCACCCTTGGCTCCCATGCGTCACCACAGAGGTGCCTTAAGCCGTGAGCTGTCCTGGCACCGTGGGCTATGCTGCATCACTCTCTGTGGCAGGGGTAGGAAGTGGAAGCCAGAAGAGGGAGGAGGAGCTCAAAGACCCCACCTGCTGCTGCAGCTGGAGTGATGGTGGGAATGGTAGTTAGGATAGAGCATGGGGGTTTCAAATTAAACCCTTACAGACTACCAGTTGGACAGCCCTGATGTAGAAAACCTGCTTACTTTTACTGTGTTGCTTTCTGTACAGTGTCACAACCCAAAGTTGTGGTTTTTTTTACTTGAGTGTGCTTCGGCATCGCTAAATCATGTTCCCGCCAAATTGCAGCTCTTTTGCACGGTGGAGTGCTCTGCTGCAACAGAGACCCCGCATGCAGGAGCTTTTCCCGCCAGTTCTGTAGCTTTCTTTGCATAGTGCATTTCTTTTGCATTATAGCAATGCGCGATGCAAGGAGTCACTGCCATTTGTATTAAGATTCGCACCACATTATTGGCCGGTCTTAATGTAAGCACACATGGTGACTAGCTATTGGCTTGCTAGCCGTACAAAAGGCTTGGGTGGTTTCCGCCCAAATCGGAGAGAGAGAAAGCACGTGGAGTTCGGGAAAGGAGCGTGAAGATCTCTAAGCGCTGCTGATCCATACGAACCCAGCTTTTTCCTTAAGAGGGCAACAGAGGTTTAATTTGTCGAACCCACGGAGCTTCAACAACTCCGCGGGACTTATTTGCCGTCCCCTCAGAACCTTAACAACTCCGGGGCATATAACCTCTAGCCTCTCCCCGTTGCCAATCGCAGTCCAGACGTATCCCTATCCTAAGGACCCAATTGTCGAGCCCACGGAGTTTAACAGCTCCGGGGGACCTGGGAACTGAATAACACTCACGGAGATACAGCTGCTCCGTGGGAACGAATTCTTGAACCCCGCAGAGCCTGAATCACTCTGGGGTCAAGGAACCGAGTGTATTAGAGTCCTCCACCGAGAACTCAAGCGGAGCTGAGCCTGGAAAGCTGACCAGCCTACACCGCGACCACCTTGGGTGTAAGTAAATAATCTTTTCAATCAACCATTACGCCTCCATGACTGATTCTAGCTAGAGCGTGTCATACCGCACCGCGGTCTTTTCCAACCCCGTGTACCCGGGCTACCGGCCACAGCCTGTGTACACACAAAGACGGGTCCCCGGCTCGTCCCGGCTCGCACATGGCGACCCAGATGGGATCGGGAGTCAGCCCGCACATACAGAAGCAGTTCTTTCCTTAGCAGACAGACCCAAGGCTTCTCTTCGGCTTTCTGAAAAGCTATGTGGAGATAAAAACAATTTTTTGAGTTTTTTGCAGCCATCTTTATAGGCATCTAAAAGCCAGATTAAATATTTGGACAGTTTGGATATATTTTCTCTTTCATTAAAACTTTGAATGTTGCCTTTCAGTCAGAACTACAACTCTGGAATTGATTTGTAAATACTATACTGTAAGGGTGTGCAGATACTACCTCTCTGTAATGATATGAAAATTTGAAACATAGATTCTTGAAATCTATTGAACATCAATAGTGTGACTGCTTATCTACCTTGATAAGAAGCTGCCCATTGGACTATTTGGACTGTGCATGTAGGATGTTCTGAATTGCATCTCTTCATATGTCAAATGATTTGCAGGCCCTTTTGCATGACCAGGCCTTGAAAAGAGATTTCCCCAAACCTGCTAGCTCAGCTGAAAAATGTAGTCTGTCATGTTTCTAAAGCCGCACCCATCTCATTTAAGTTGTCATACTTTAACTTCTCTTACCTTTCCAAATAATTCCTTCTCTCCTCTCTGTAAACTACTGTAGTTTCCAGTTAGCCCTATACGCTCTTTTTCTCCCCAGTTAGCCCTATCTTATCTTTTTTCTCCCCAGTCTCAGTCAAAGATGGTGACCTCTACCTAGGATCACCTCTGGAACTGCTGATCTGTCTTTTGAGGTACTCTTATCTTGTAGTGTGAAAGACAGCATTTTAGAATTATACAGTAAAGCAGGGATTGTAGAAGTTTGGTTCTTGGTTTGAGCAATTGATGGGAAGGAAACGAATTTTCATTTTGGACTTAAAATGAAGGGACTCTTCTAGCATTCTAAATGATTTTGACAAAGCTGGAAATAATATTACTGGTCACGATAGTAAATACACTGGCAGGGAAATTTAGCAGTGCTTAATTTATAGATTACTGAATGTTTTTTCATCCTATGGAAGCTTTACTTCTGTACTTCACTTGAATAATCATTTTGCAGTAAAAGAATGTTTTGGGGAAAAATGTGTTTGTCTTTTATTTTGATTTTTTGAGTGTTTCTGCAGATATGTGAGATGCTCCTTCTTGAGAGTCACTCTGTTTAATGTAGTGGTTGTGGACAGGCATCTATTTAACTCCATTTGGGATTTAGCACACTATAGAGTTCATAGCTCCTGTGTGAATCCTTACTTTTCCCAGTACTGCTTTGTTAGTGCAGTTCAGCTATTACAGGAACATCTTTGCTGTTTCAAACCACTCCTGAGCAGACTGGCAAATGCCACACACTGGATTTCAGTTTTGTGATATAGGTGTAGCTTTACTGTGGTCTTATATGTGCTCATATATTCATGTTCATTTGTGGTAATAAAACTCCTGAAGTGAAAGACTGTTGTATACAACTGCCTGTGGCACAGGCTGGCTTTGAGGAGCTGATATGTAAGGAGGTCCTTACAGACCTTTGGGTCTTGAAGAGTTGAAGGTCCTTCAGATTTGCTTTTGCCTGCTTTCAGTGTTTCAGAGCAAGCCAGATTTTCAGAATGGATCTGACAGCCCAGTGATCTATCTAGCAGTCTTTGGCTCCTCGCAAGGCTCATGTGATAGATAACCATCTGATTCCAGACTCTAACAATACCATAGTCAAGGAGGTGCCAGCGCTTAGAGCAAGGGTTGTCTTGTACTTGTCACTCTGTCTGAAGATGGTGTTTATGATGACAAGACTGTACACTTGCTCAGGAGAGCATTAGTACATTAGTCAGAATGTTGTCAAGGTTGAAATAGAACTGTTTTTTGACAGCATTGTCAGCATTTTTGTGTTGGGGCATATGCACTGATGATGGTGGTGTACTAGTTGTTGCTGAGCTTAAGACAGAAGGTCATAAGATGTTCATTAGTGCCCATAGGGAGCTCTGTATATTGACCAATGAGCTGACTTTTGGTGGGGAGATCTCAGCCTTGGTAGCAGCTGCTGAGTTGCACCCCTGTCTCAACTCAGGTGCAAGATGCCCATCAGGCTACTGCCACCTACATGCAGATTTGTGACTGGAGGCTGCTGGATTCATTCGTCCTGTGTCTGTCACTGCCATTGCTTCAGAGATTTTGGAGTTTGGTACAGAAGAACATGTTGTTTCTTGTGGTAGAAGCCTGCATGTGACTAATGTGAGGAAGCTGGTGTGTCGAAACAGCAGCCATCTTACCTTGACATGGTAGAGATCTGGGCCCTGTAGCAAGGGAGAACACTAGATGACAGAAGACCTCTATCTTGCTGCAGCCTTCTTCTGTCTTTACAGCAGTTGTGATCATGACATCTTTTCTCTGATCCACTGTTGAGGACTTGAGGCTGGACCATGGTTTGTCTGGAACCTCCCCATAGGCCTGTTCACCATGGGTGACCCTGCTGCGAGTGTGAGATTCTGAGTGACAGCATTGAGGCTCATTGGGACACACAAGCCTCTCCACCATGACAAGGTTTCAGTCCA